GAAGCTGTGGCTGCCTCAYCCGTGGGAGYGTTCAAGGCCAGTCTGGAGCAATCTGGTGGAAGGTGTCCATGGCAGGGGTTGCAACAAGATGAACTTTAAGGTCCCTTCCAACCCAAACCATTCTGGTGTTCTCTTTTTTCTGGTTATTTTGCAGAACTACTTTATACCCAGAAACATTATTTTCTGGACACATAATGGATTTGTAGCCTGGCTCTTGGAAACAACTGCCAGTTTGTTTTGTTCCATTTCCTCAGAGAAATGTCATGAGAATAAATTCAGTTTTACAGTTGATTTAGGTACTGCATAAAATTACAGATTTCAGTGATTCCATGGACCAGCATGTCACAGACAAACAGCATGTTCTGCTCCTGCAGTGGGAAACCCAGAAGGGGAGGGTTGGGAAGATTTGTTTACTTGAAGAGCAAAGAGCTGAACTCTGTAGAAGGAGGTGCCAGCAGGTACCAGAAATGTCCAGGGCAGCATGAAGTGATTAGAGGAGTTCTCTGCTTCTCAAAGAAAAGTGAGCCAAGTGTGCTTAGTGATAGGCTGGGGGGCTCAGCCTGGAGCAAAGGAGGCTCAGGGGGGACCTTGTGGCTCTGCACAACTCCCTGACAGGAGGGGACAGCTGGGGGGGTCGGGCTCTGCTCCCAGGGAACAGGGGCAGGACAAGAGGAAATGGCCTCAAACTGCACTTAGGGAGGTTCAGGTTGAATATTGGGGAAAATTTCTTCACTAAATGGGTGGTCAGGCACAGCTGCCAAGGGCAGTGATGGAGTCCCCATCCCTGGAAATGTTCAAAAGATGTGTGGATGTGGCACCTGGGGATATGGGTTASTGGTGAACACAGCAGTGCTGGGGGAATGGTTGGGCTCAAAGGTCTTTCCCAGCCTCATTGTTTCTGTGATTCTGTGACAGGTTCAGAGGAAAACACAAAGCCTGTAGCCTGCCTCTCCCTCTGACTGCTCCTCCAGCTGGGGTAATTCACAGGCAGCTGTGCAGCCCCATGTTCTTGCATYACTTGGCCCAGCACAGGCCAGGGTCACAGCAAGGGCTGTGCCACCACTGTGACCCCATCTACAAAGGCTRTGCCACAGTCCCATCTGAAACTGTTCCTAGCCCTAAGGCCAGTTGGGACTGAATCCTCCCACCCTCCAGATCAGGATCAGTGTGGCAGTGCCCAAGGTGCCTGCTGGGAATGGTCACCAGGAGTGCCCAGTGGGACCTGGAGGAGCCTTGCATGGCCAGGGACAAGATGATGCCAGAGACCTATCCTTGCTTGGAGATCACAGGGTTGTGTGCAGGGCAGGAGGGGCCCTGGCTGGCATTAACTCAGCAGGGAGGCCCTGGGGAAGGTCCCAGTGCTGAGGATGTCCTGTTGCTGTGTGGGCCCCGTTGGTGTTTCCTGCCCCAGCTGAGCCCTGTGTGGCTGGAGACACCGTCGTGCTCCGTGGGATGTGCCTGCCCTGGGAGACAGGGGAGGTTTGGCTGCAGGTGGAAGAACTCAGCTGGATGGGAAGGAATTCAGTGAAGTATGTGACAAACCTGGTGTGGAAAATGACAGCTAGGACTTTCAAGAGATAGTTTAGGAATAATTTGTTCCAAAAATACCAACTACTCTCATTCTTCAAGTTGTATTAGAATTCTGGTCTCCCAAGAGAGCTTTTCCTCCTCTGCACTCAGTGAACGCGCCGTGGGCTTGCATCACCCTGAGCATCACTGCAGCTCTGCCTTTAACTCCCAGGTTTATTTACCACTTTTGTCTGCTGCAGCATGGAATGTTACAATGCTGCTGACATTTATTTTACCAGCATCATGTTCTGTAGGTGAAGATTTTCAACACAGACAAAAAGAGTATGTATTTTCTTCTCAAATATTTAGCTCAGGGTTTCATCCTATTTCTGGTACATCATTTTTGTGGATATGAGTTCCCCTGTCTAACTGATTTTAAAAATGGAGTACAAGCACAGGTATCATCACCAAGGAAGGCAGAGGACAGATACCTGAGTGAAAAAGGAAGTAGCAGAATCTGCTGAGCTKGAAGAGACCCMCCAGGATCATCCAGTCCAACYYCTGGCCCTGCACAGACCCCCCAACARTCCYGCCCTGTGCATCCCTGGCAGCRCTGTCCAAACACTCCTGGAGCTCTGGCAGCTTCCCATGGGCCYGTGCCCATTCCCTGGGGAGCCTGGGCAGTGCCCAGCACCCTCTGGGGAAAGAACCTGACCACTTTTTGGGTGAAGATATCTGAAGAATGATCATAGCCAAGACCACAGCTCTAACTACAGGAATACACTCTTTCATATCAGTATGAGAAAGACATAATACTATAGTATAGTTGGTGCTGCCATAGGCCATTGAGAGAAGAAACTTTGAGGTGATTTTGCCCAGAAATAGGCCAGAGCCTGAAGTCAGCATCTAGGCAGCCTCGGGATTGTGTGCAATGGTTGTGGAAATGCCCATGAAGATGACTTTTGTGCACATCTTTCTGAAAGGTGTATAAATATTCCTTAGTAAAGTACACAGCACTACAGCCAGAGCTTGGACCAGGTTCCAATCGAGGAATCTCCTGAACAGACAGGAGCAGTGGGGTCTGAACAATGACCTTGAACGTGACAGAGCTCAGGCTGTGAGGAGTAGCAACATGGGGAAGGAGAGTCAGGTTTCATATTTCCMCTGGGGACTGCTTGAAAGGAAACTGTACAAAATGCAGGAAGAAATCCCGAAATCAGGCATTTGTTGGAATAATGCTGAGACCTGCTGTCTTTTGCCATATTGCATCTCCTGCTGCTCTCCGACTCCTGGCTTATCAAGCCTCGCCTTCTCTCTAAAATGAGTTACTGGCCACTAAGCTGTGCTAGTCTGTGTGAGATCTGCACTAAATAATCAGTAGGGAATGGCTCAGGTTGTATTTTGGGTTTGRGCTGTGAGTTCGCTACCAAAATGTTGATTTTGGAGCTTTACTGCCCCTCCTCAGCAGAAACGTGGCCATGGAGGGATGTGAGATTGGTTTGTTTGGGACTGGATGGGAGGGGAAGCCAAACACTGCAATTTAGAGCCATGTAGCTCCACCTTGGTGACTAAGCTGGGCTTTGTCAGCCCYGGAGCTGGGATTGGGACACTCCGGCCAGTTCTCCCAGTTTCACTTATGTTGTTGTGAAACTCCAGAAACTGAGACTGGCATGAAAAGATCKCTCTGTGTGCAGGGTCTATAAATAYGCATTTTAAATTTGAATTCTCTTGTATGGCAGAGCCAGGCTCCAGGCACAGGGAGAGGTGTGTGATGAGTGCAGCAGATGGAGGCTGCAAAGATCAAGGTCCTGCCCCAGCCTCCTGGAGCAGCGGGGTGCCKGTCACTGCCTTCTTGTGTGTCTGGACTTCATTTCCTTACCGTGAAAGGGTAATGCAGAGATTACCAGGCAGAATTCAACCTCTCCRAACCCTTTTCCCCTTCTCCTGCAGTCAGTGGATGATAAGTCCCCTCCTTCCTCATGATRAAATATCAAGAAACCTGATCTCACYGTGACTTTCTCAGAGCGGAAAATCTGGCAGCCCCRTCTCCTGCTCACCCTGGTTACACAGTGATGCTGTGTTGGCCCTGGGGAGTGAAGATGCTGGATGGCAGGAGGAATTGCTGTAGCTGCTATTCCAGCCCTCTTCCCCAGCTCTGTGCCAGTAAAATCACCCAGGTGCCAMGCAGGGTGCAAAAAGGGGCAAGATTTCAGAGCAATGCAGAGTGGTGTAGTACTATTAAAGTATTTTTCTATAGACATTATTCTGCTCTTCACAGAACTGTTTGAATTGGAAAAGACCTTAAAGCTCATCTCACTCTGCCCCACTTCTATGGGCAGGGACACCTTCCASTAGACCAGGCTGCTCCAAGCCCTGTCCAACCTGGCCTTGATGGGAAATGTTTGATATTAAGTAGCCATGGAGCTGGAGCAGGACATGTACTCCTATGGGGTGGTAGGACATGCTGCTCTAAGTGACCCTGCCTCGATAGCAGGGGGGTTGGACTGGATGATCTCCAGAGGTCCTTTCCAGTCCCAGCCATTGCATGAGGTTCTGTGAGCTTGCTCGAGGGCATTTTTGAAATGAACATCCCCTGGCCCCTATTTCAGTGAGACACGAGGGACGCACACCTTTGCAGGGAGCATCCTGCCTCTTCCACTGAGCTTGTGCAGCAGCAGAGCTTGGCTGAGAGCTGGGAGTTTGGGAGAGGTACGTGCTCTCCACACCCTCTGTCCTTTCCTACCAGCTCCTCTCCCTCCTCCTTGATTCCAAACCCTCCCTTGAACCAGTGTACATTACACAAGCTCTGTGCAGCCCTTGCTGCACAGCTCAAACAGGCTTATGAGCAAACAACAAAAATCCTGTTGTGCTGCCTGAGTGTGTCCTCCCTTTCATGGCATGAGCTGCTCTATGGCCTTTAAATCATCTCCCTTTGTCGCAGCCATACTCGACTCCTGGAATTTGGGCTTTGCAAAGTGCTCGCCTCCGACATCCCACTCACAGCTCACCAGGCCGTGGGAGCTTGGGAGGGATTTTCTCTTGTCCCCCTTTCTATTTTTTTTTCCTTTTTTTTTTCCTGCCCAAATCCCAAAACCAATCCCAAACCCAATTTGGCAGCCCAGATCCCAAGCTGAAAGTGAATCGCTGCTGCTGGCTGCCCTCCAGCATTCCTCTCGGAGCGAGTCAGGATCTGGAATGTCAGAATGTCAGAAGGCAGTGGCGGGGAGGGACGGGAGAAGCCTGTGCGTGGGTAAGGGCGCCGGGGGGGAGGAGGAGGAGGAGGAGGAGGAGGTGGAGGAGGAGGATGGAACAAAACCCAACTTCAGCTGGACTGCCCCTTTCCAGAGCAGCGTTTGTTCCTGATTTATGCTTTTGTGTTTCACTTAAAACGTGCGGCTCCGTGCAGCAAGGGCAGAGCTTGCAGCCGCGCTCTGGAGTAAATCAGAGTTTGCTTTTCCTTTCCTTTTTTTTTAGCTTTTTTTGGCAAAAGCTTCGTGTCTAGATAAACCCAGCAAGTTTCCAGCTCATTCCTTGAGCCGGGAGTTTCTGCCTCCTACAGTTCTGAGGAGAGGTTGATCCCTCGGGTCCTGTGGCACGCTCTGGACGAGGGGAAAYGTCCTTTTGCGGAGAAGCTGGGACGGGGCCCGGGCGGTGAGGCTGGCACAGAGCAGCGCCCAGCACTGGAGCACAGCGAGTCCTTGACACCTTCTCTGCTTCTGCTCGGACAAGAAACMTTGTGGAGCCTCAGCTCTTCCTGCTGCAGATTAATGCCTAAAATTATACACCCTAAACAGCAGGGTTTAATTACCAGAGCTGTGAATAGTTTAATTAGTTTGTTCTGACCTTGGAAGAAGGACCTGCCCAGCGCCGTAGAGCGACAGGAGAGCAAGACTGGTGTTGCTTCTCACTCAGAAACACGCAGCCCGCGAGGCCATGTCGTCCCTGTACACCAGGAGTAAGGAATATACTCGCAGCAGGAAGGCTCAGTCAGACTCTCCCCCATCCTCTCCTTCCCCGATCGCAAAGACACTCAGAGTAAGCAGCTTTTTCCTTTCTGTATTGCCCTGCTCAGCACRTGCTCTGAGCGGAGCCTGGTGGTGGTGGTGGTTTGTTGTCTTACCCTCGGAGACCTGTGGCTGTGGTTTCCTTTGGAAAGAGGATGAAATGAAACTTGGGATGGTGCCTCTGCAGCAACAGGTTTAAAGCAGCTGCCAGAGTCCCTGCGCTGGGATTAGCTGTGTTAGTGCTGTAGGGAGTTGCTGGGATGGTAGTTTCCCCCTGTCCTGGAACATGGCTCTCCTGGTAGGCTGTTGCCGGATGAAAACCTCCCTGGTGGAAAGGAGGCAGAACCTGACCAGTTTGTTAAACTGCACTTTTTTCCATAAACACTTCGGTATTGCTGGTGAAAGGAGTTTGTGTTCAGCTTTCACCTCTGGGGCTGAGCTGGCCTGAGCTGTAGTTTAATAATTCCAATACCACAAAAAAAAAAAATTGAAGAAAACCACCTGTAGCAGGAGGCAACTCAAGGTAGTTACCTGTACTCCCCAAACCAGAGCTGCTATCCTCCTCTCCCAAGGTGTTGGAAAGTTGGAAATGTTTTTTAACAGTATTGCTGATAGCTCCAGAGTGATGMGAGAAGCTGTAACAAACCCGCTGGGTCTGTATCATTGCACAGGCAGCCTCTTCACCATCAAGAAATATTGTCAAAGCCTGGAGGAATTAGTTTTTAACAGCCAGACTAATTTTAGATGGGAGCATTAAATTAATCCCAGCACTGGTATTTGTTCAAATCAGATACGCATTGTCTGTTCTGTTGGAAGGGACAGATCTTGGTCTGGAAAAAGTAATGCCCAAAATATTTGAGTTTTAACCCACTGCTGTGGCATTAATGAAAGCAGTTCCTGACCCCGGGAACTTCAGCCTGGAGGCTTCTGTGACTGCTGGTTGCCCTGGGCTATTACGTGTAATCAGGAGTAGGTGATTTCTTCCCTCTGGAGCTGGGGTGTCTTTGGGATGGTTCAGATAATCTGAAACTCTCCCCCGTGGGCTTGGATGGGCTTCYGCCAACAGCCTGAGCACTGCACTGACCAATCCTCAATAAGGGGCCACAGGATTGATCACCAGCCTGGTAACAGGTGGGGAACCATTCTAGTGTGCTGGAGATGTTTTCATTTCTTTCAAACCCAAGTTTTTAAGATCAGACATGTTCAGACTGACTCATTTTTCTCCCTTTTGCATCTGGGTATACGAGTGAGTGACAAACGTCTCACAAGAGGCCTGAGCTGTGCCTGGAGCAGACTGACAGGAGGGGCCAGTTCCTCTGTCCAGAGCCTTGGGGGGACTGCAGACTCCTTGGTTTGCATGGGTGGTGAAGGAGGCTGTGGGAGCTCTCAGGTGGGCAGAGAAAGGTGGWGCTGGTTTGTCTGTCTGTAACCACAATGGGATTTTCAGGCTCCTGAGGGGCTGTGGGTATTGGAAAAGGTGGTGGAAGTTCTCAGGTGGTTACAGAAAGGTACCAGGTGGGAATGAGAGGGCCTGGAGAAGAGCTTCATGCGGCAGTGAGGTTTTGATGAAAACCAACACATGAGCATGGAAATTCTTGCATTRGTAAGGCAGTGCCAGCTGTGACTCCACAGCATCTCTAGAGAAAAAACGGGTGGGGAATGCATCAGCTCAGCCATTGTAGGAACCAGCCCTGGTGCTATCTGGGTTATGGAAATGCCTTAAAAGGCTAATTAGGGAAGGATTTGACTTCAGGCTAAAACAAGAATCTGAGTTAACTCTTTCTCCAAGACAATGTAATTTTGCCATGAGCACGAGAAATAACAGAGTTTGGTTTACTCTGGGTTTGTCCCATGTGTTTATTCCTCTCCACCCATGCCCACAGTAACAGACCTGTGCCACAAGGAGCCACCACCCTCCATAAACCGGGTAGGAATGTGCTATTTGGAATCTTTTATCTTTCCATCCAGTCAGGATTGATAGCAGCAGAGCTGTGGGCTCTAAACATTCCCAGCTGAGGAGGGCTGCGAGCAGGCAGGAGCTTCACACGTGGTGCACACAGGGAGAAAACTCCTGGAGAATCAGGCAGAGCAAAGGAGGTTTGCCTTTGCGAGGTACCTGTGCCAAGAAGCTGCAGTGAAAGTGATCTTCCAAGCAGTTTCCATGGCATTCCCTGTGCACTGGCACTGCTGCTTGGAATGTTCTTCCTTAGGAGTTAGGATAATATTGCCTGGGGTTTTTCTGCCTTTGATTGATGGGAACTCCCCAAATTGCCAGCTGAGGAAGGGAAGGTGGGCGGAGGCACCTTGCAGTGAACTCATGCATGTAGGAGAGGGAATGTCCCTGCACAGGAGGTTGTGGTGACAGTGGGGTGTTTGTGTGTGACCCCTCCCTGAGCCACGTCAGTACCATCCSATTGCCCCAAGACCTCCACAAGCTAAAATACCCAAATCCTGTTAAATCCACCAGGGTAAGTGTTGCTTAATGAGGATGTTCCTCAAAAGAGGAAACTCAAACCCCTTTGAAATCAGTTCGTGTGGCCCTGTTACCTGGCACGAGCTTCAGGTGTTTGGCAGTGGGTAACTTTTCAGCATGTTTTGCACCATTGTGATTTAGCTTGAGGTTTCTCCTCCTGAAAAAAAAATTATTCAGTTCCAAGGATGTAACAGGCAGCCAGTGGCATGAAACCTGTTTTGTACATTTTAAGTAAATAAATGACAGAATTTGAAGTGTGACAGCAAAAGCAAGGACTGAATTTCATTTTATTTTTATTCCTCTCACCGCTGGGCTAGTAATATTTTCATAGGAAGTACCGTGTAGTTGGTGTTTAGGCTTATCCATCTGGTTGTTCTGGTACTTTATAACCCTTGTGCTTCTCCTCAGGATATTGGTTAGGTGGGAAAACAAAATTTAAGGAGAACGTACACTCCCAGCTTTCTGCAGAGAATGCAATTGCAGCTTTTCAGTTGGTTTCCCACCTCTTTTTCATACCTACCCTTTTTTTATAAACTGCTCCTTGATTTGTTAGCCGGTATTTTTTGCTGTAAAAAAMCCATGAAAACTTAAAACTGTCATTGATGTATGTGGGCTCCTGGTTTAGTAGCGGCTGCATTTGTGTTGCTGCCATCACTTGGAATCCCAGACTGGTTTGGGTGGAAAGGAATCTTAAAGCCCATCCTGCCCCCACCCCCTGCCACAGGCAGGGACACCTTCCACTGTCCCAGGCTGCTCCAAGCCCTGTCCAGCCTGGCCTTGGACACTTCCAGGGATCCAGGGGCAGCCACATCTTCTCTGTGCATCCTGTGCCAGGGCCTCCCCACCCTCACAGGGAACAATTCCTTCCCAATATCCCATCCAACCCTGTCCTCTGGCAGTGRGAAGCCATTCCCTGTGTCCTGTCCCTCCATCTCTTTTCCCTGTCCCTCTCTAGCTTTCCTGGAGCCCTTTCAGKTAATGGAAGGGGCTCTAAGGTCTCCTGGAGCCTTCTCCAGGCTGGACACCCCCATCTGTCCTAGCCTGACTCCAGAGTAGAGGCRCTCCGGCCCTGGAGCAGCTCCRTGGCCTCCTCTGGACTCTCTCCAGAGTTCCAGTCCACATTTCCTGTGCTGGAACCCCAGGGCTGGAGCAGCTCTGCAGGTGGGGTCTCACCTGAGTGGGGCAGAGTGGYGGAATGCCCCCTGTCCTGCTGCCCACGCTGGGGGATCAGCCCAGGACTCGGGGGGTTTCTGCGCTGCCAGAGCACGTGGCTGGGGCACGTTGAGCTTCTCATCCTCCAACACCACCAAGTCCTTCTCCCCAGGGCTGTTCTCTGTCCATTCTCTGCCCAGTCAGGTTGTGAAGTGGTCACTTGATGATTTTTACTTGTTCCTCAGCAGATTGTGTATAATTCTTCTCATTCTGTTCATGCTCACAGTTTCTCTGCAAGGATGTTAGATTGTTCCCTCATTAAGCCTCCTTCAGAGCACATAACCTGAGCTTTCCAGCTGAATTTTTATCAGGAAGGCTCAGCAATAAAGCTCTAAACATACGCACTGGTCTGCACTGATTGATTTTATTCTGCCTTTCACTGGAGCGTCTGAAGGAGTCACGCTGGGTGAAATATGGGATGCATGAGCATCACCTTTTATGGGCCTTCTGTTTTCACCAAGTCACTTGATAGTAAGGGTTGTGTATAAACGGCAGCAGTTCCCAAATCACCGTCTCTGTAAAGGAGCCCCCAGCCGAGCCAGTGGTGCTCTGAGCAGTGCTCTGAGCAGTGCTCTGAGCGCTCATTGCCATGGCAGCACATGCCCCGAGGCTGCCTGCGATCGGGGCACATGGACAGTGCAAAGGCAGAGCAAATCGTACAGCACAAAGAAAAGCTAATGCACAAAAATGAGAGTGGCTGAGCTGCAGGTGCTCAGCATGCAAATCACGCCAGCAGGGTTGTGTTAATCTGTAAGTGATCATAGAATCACAGAATCCCAGAATGGTTGGGTTGGAAGGGACCTTAAAGCTCATCCCACCCTCACACCTTCCACTGTCCCAGGTTGCTCCAAACCCCATCCCACCTGGCCTTGGACACTTCCAGGGATGGGGCAGRAAGAATTTCTCATCTAAATCTCTCCTCTCTCACTTTAAAACCCGTCCCCCCACTTTTCCTGTCAYTTCCCTGTGTAAGAAGTCGATGTCCCAGAGTGCTGGGAGGCKGTTAGAAATGCCTGTTTGGGTTACAGCCTTTCTGGAGTTTGGAATAGAAGTGTGTCAGATGGCCATGCTTTGATCTGGTGTTTTTGCAACAAGTTCCATCCATTTCAGATATTCCTGGTCACASGTTTATTCTCACATGGGATTTTCCTCTATGCATCATTTCACTTGCTATGCTGCCGGTGCCAGTGTGTTAGAGAGTAAAAAGTGTTACGAAAATATTTCTCCAGGAAACTTTATCTTTCTGGGTTTCCATTTAGCAGCTTGGACTCGTCTGGTTGTGATAAAAGTGATGCTGTGTAAATTGAAACGGGATCAAATAAGTTGCCTCATGACAGTTTCTATCT